TACGGTTAAATAGAATGAAGCGACTATCCTCAGGGCTATGCGTTCCCCATCGTTAGCAATGCACGAAGAAAAAATCGAAATCTATAAAAGTAAATTAAAATATGATTGTATTAATGCCAGGGATGTAGATGGACTAGCTTCTGCATGGAAATTCTACATAAAAGAAAAACTAAAATACAAAAATTCTTAGCCCGACCTGCCCTTATACTTAGATGCATTTTTTGTGTATTTATTTCATTTTTATTTTATTTTACATATGTTATTTTTATTCTATTATATTATTTACATCATTATTGTATTAGCTCATTTAGTATATTTTGTTTTGTTTTATTATTTATTTGTTAATTTATCTAATAGTTTGTTTTGAATTTAAATGTAAAAGCATTTGAACATTCTGCCATTTAAATGTTAAGTTAAAATACGTTTGAATTTCAGTTGCATCTGAAGATGCCCTATCATATTGCCTTAATGTTTGTTTAATAAACATTTCTCAGTGTCGGGTGTTTGATGATTCATTAAGTATTTTAAAGAGCTGAGTATGATATTTAGTCAGTCACTTTTATTTTTGAACTAAGCTATTTTAATTTTTAGACTCTATGATAAAAATGCATGTGTTAGTAAAATAAATACTCATACTTTTCGACACAAAAACAGACAATACAAATTTTTAAATAAATTTGTTGTCGTCTTTTATGATGCTTGAGCCGTTAGACTAATCGGCTCCAATAAGTTAGTTTTGTCAATATTGACTGCAGTGCCAATCTCCAATTTTATTTTATGGTTACTCTACAGCAAGATTAAAACACAATTTTAACTCCAATTCATTACTTAGTGCCAACTGATGGATTTCTTGACAAACCTACTGTCCCAGGTTATTGCACCACCACCACTTGCCATACCTGCAAAGGCATATCAGCAAGTCCACTGTACTTGAGTCACCACCATCTACGTATACCTTAAAAAACCTGTGAATATGAGTAGTATCTTCCCCGAGCAGAAGAGGACTCATAATAAAAACCAATTAATTTAACACATTATTAAAACCTTATACACTGTATAACCCTAAATACCTTGAAAACCAGTGCAGCCAGACCTGCACCATAAAACCATTTAAGACCTTAAAAACAATTTATAACTATGTAAATCCTATATAATACCTCAAGGACCCAGTAACAATTAAAAGGGTATATTTACCTTATTGAAATTTTATATCTAACTTAACTAAGTTAAAAACAATACCTTATTTCATACTATGTACAATACATCTATAAAACATAAAGCCAAGATATATATGCATAAAACCAATATAACTATAAGAATTGGTGTTTAAGTTTTACTTTCCTGGCTATTATATATACATAACAAGGGAAAGAATTGGAAATGTGTCAAATTTGACCCTCAAAGTTTTTAGCAAATCTCCACGTTTTGAGACCTCCTGAATTCAAAAAGTAAAAAAAAAAAAGGTAAAATTTTGTGTGTGTTGGTGTCTATTTTGCTTAATATTTCAAGATGGGGTAAAGATTAAGTAACAAAATTTGCTGTGGTGTCTTGTATATGAGGGACATTGATGCTATTAAATTTTGGTTGTGAAAGGTCGAGGGGATGGAGAGAGAGAGAGAGGGTGGTCACATGTCATATCTCATGAGGTGTTAGACTTAATGGAGATTTTACTTATTAGTACAGTAGAGCCTCGAAACTTGGCACTCAATAACCCGGCACTCCGGATAACTCGGCCACACCCTGGCAGGGCAAAAAAATCCTTAGTTAATTAATTTTCATGATAAAGACAGCTTTATGCCTCATAAAGTATTTTTCTGAGGTCTGTCTTATCAGGTAAATTACTGTACACAGTGTATTCATTAATTTTCATTTTCATGTAGTAAAGGCTCTATGCCTTCATAAAAGACGTACTTTTCCTTTGTTTAAGGGTATTTGGGCAGTTTATTCTCTGTTGTATTCTCAAGTAAACAATACATACAAGTACAGTACAGTATTTTCTGAGGAAACACTCATACTTATTTTTTTAACCCCATTCCCGATAACCTGGCATTTTCACAAACTCGGCCACCCTTTGGTCCACATTAGGCCGAGTTTTTGAGGCTCTACTGTATTTAGTGTTTCATTGCTAGATTGTTATTTATTTACTAGCAGATGAGCCCGGTGTTGCTCAGACAAAAAGTAATGATAGCAAAGATTAAGATTGTTAGATTATAGCTGATCTTACCTGTTTTCATCGAGTGCAAGAAATAAGTCCCCCTCTTTTGAGACTAATTAGAGGATTTGCAGATAATGATAAATAAGACTCACTGCAACCACCAACTGGTGCATAGTACCACTAAGTAATAAATATTAAACGTTTTCGTAACTCTTTCTGGGTTCTTCTTCAGGTTTAATAAATTCAAAAAATAAGCTGGATCTTCCAGAATCATTCATAAATATGAATTCAAACATAAAATTGAACATTAAGATGAAGAGTTTGAATAAAGTGAACTTATGCGCATGCGCTCCCCATGTCAACTTTATATATGATGGAACACTAAGTATCGTTGAGAATTTTTAGAAGAGTCTAAAAATATGTTCGATTTCTGACATAAATGCAAAAATGACATCTAAAATAGTACAGTAGAAGCCGAGTTCTTCAGGGTAATCCTTAACCCTCTCTTTCTCCTCTGCGGTGGGAATTTCGAAAATCACTTCTTAATATGCATTTTCATGGCATACCCTATTGAAACGTAATCAAAAATGCAAAAAATCACATCTAAAATAGTATAATAGAAGCCAAGTTCTTCACAATAAGCCTTAATTCTCTCTCTCTTCCCCAAGGGGGAGAATTTCAAAAAATTCCTTCTTAGTGTTCATTCTCATGACATACCCTAACTGTACCAAATTTCAACTTTCAACTTTTAATCATTTCGGCTCTGTGCTTATTATTATTACCATTATCATCAATCCATCTCGATTATATTATAATATTCTATTACTTAGCATATTGATTAAGATTCTAAAAGCACCATTATACATCTTTTGTGCACACTAAATTGGTGCAAACCTCATTAAATGCTACCCTTTGAGAGGAGTCTGAATTTAGTATATGCTTTATCTCTACTATTTCATTAATAAAATACCTGTGGTCTAAGATAAATGTTCAAGAGTGTCTATGGCATCACACTCACACATATCAGTATCGACCAGGTGGAATGTCTTTAACTTATTCCTAAAATTACTATGTCCACCCGGTATCTGGAAGGAGTAAAAGTTAGGGTGTATCCAATTAGCTTTCAATCTTTTATTTATATCGGAGAAGAATCTATATGTAGTCATCCCCCTTGGTACCTGTTCACCTGCCTTGCCATATACTAATAACCTTATCTGACACCTCTATTTTCTTAATCTTGGCAGAGCTATTTGTGCTGTCAAATTTAAAATCATATTGGTATTCATTATTGTATTCCTTAATTTCAGACTCTAGTTTATTATTAATGATCTGCTCAAACATTTTGCCCAGCAACGATACTAAAGAAATGGGCCTGTATGATTTGGATTAATCTTATCTCTGTTACCATCTTTATATATAACAACCACCTTTCCCTGTTTCCAACAATTAGAGAAGACATCATAAACCAACTATGCCCAATATATGAGGACTTAAAATATCAAAACCATTGTCAATCACCTCATACGTTATATTATTAGCCCCAGGGCTTTTCTACTCTTTGGGCCTTAGTGACTATTACAACACCATTTGCCGTTACCTTGTCAACATATCCAGTATTATTGTACTCGTGCACCATTACTCTACTCTGGCTTTGGGTTCACCGTCATCAGGAAACAGGAACAATAATAAATAATTTACTACCGAGGTCCAACTATATAACTCATTATGACCATAACCTGTATTAACTAATATTTGATTAGTCTTGAGCCTTTTAGTTAAAATTTTATATGGCAATTTCCAGGGATTCCCTTTAGTTTTCTCACATACAAACCTTTGCCAAACTTTCAACCTTTAATTCATTTAACTTCCTCTTATTGAGATATACACACTTTAGGTACTCATGCTTAGTAATGCCAGAGCATCTTTGAAACATTCTTCTACCCTTATTCATCTGATTTTTCAGGCTTTCCAACTTATCACCACCACTTACCTCTTGTCTTTCCTCAGATTGCACAGTTCATTGCCAAACAGATACTACACCATATACAGATGCAATACCCAATCACCTCGTACTCGTCCTCCAGTACATCAAAATTTTGTAAGATCGGGAATTTGCAAGTTAAATTTTTAATTTATTCCAATTGGCATTAGTAAAATCGTAACCAAAAGTACTGTACACCTTGGAGAATCATGTACATTATTAACTACCTCACAGTCAAACATAATCAGTTCATGCTCACTAGTGGTTTCATTAACCAACCTCCAGTTAGTTACATTATTACTTATACCTTGCATAGTAAAGGTCAAATCAATATAAGAGCTACCTCTACCGGATACAAAAGTCGGACATATCTCTAGATCGTTTAAGACCACCAAGTCTCATTTTGCAATGGTTTCTAATAACTGATTTCCTTATTTGTCTGTGACCAGACTGCTCCATAGAGAAGACTTTGCATTACTATCCAAGCACACAAATATACACTCGCCATGCAGCTTTCCCAGGCAAGACTAATTCGTTCAAACCAGTATCAATATCAATACTTATAACATATATCTTAATACCATCAACTACAACCTCTTCAACAATGCAGGTTAGGGATGATGCACTTTGTACATTACATCTAATGTTGCTACTCCCACAGTTTGGGCCAGCAGTTTTACTAGCTAGCGGGCCAATTAACTTTTATATTGTTTTTTTAAATTTTTCTTTGACTTTTTTTTTAACTTTGTCGTGCATGTTCAAAAATAGTTGATGGAAGAATTTAACTATTTTAAAATATTAATGTTGATAATAATAAATAAATTTTAATCTTATTCTATTTCATTCCATGGAACGGATCTGTAGATTTTCGGAAGGCGATACAAGAAATACAAACTTGACATGTCTGACGGAGCGGTAAGTATCTTATCGTTTTATTATTACATAATTTAGTAAGGATTAGTCTTTGGTTGAGATGAAAGATTGCCCAAAAACATCCCACTTTTAGGGAAAATGCATTAAACAAAATATTTGTAATAATAGTTGTGCACATTCCTGGTTCCCAGTCTATGCTTCTGAGATTCTTCAACTCTTGTTATTCATTTGGTAAGCAAATGATAATGAATTGCCATAAAGCTGCCACTGGAGAACGCACGGAACAATTATTCAAAACTAGTCGAGACAATCAGGATGGGTAGAGTACTCTCTGCCCAGAATCGCGATGTGTGGAAAAATGACAGGCGGACAAAAATCTTGGTAATTAACCGCATTGAAACAAAAAGCGTCAAACGGGGACTACCTGTAAATCTGCGTCTCGAGTAACGCATATTCGCATCAAAAGTATTATTACATTATAAAGAAAATTATTTTAAATAATATTTATGCCTTTTCTATAAATTTTATCAGTGAATTGTAAAGATTTCATTTCTGAAATCTTTTAAATATACAGAGCGATCATAAACACGCCCAAACAAGTTTGGGGCCGATTCTTTGAATAATTTTCCACTATAAAAGTGCTTACAAATGTGCATTCGTAACGGAGTTTTAAATTGACTAGACGTTTTTTAAAACATGGCCCGGCTGAAAATGTTGACGAATTACGGAATTGGGATTGCTGCACCCTGCCAAATAATTTGAAATGGCTCCCAGTATTTGATGATGTGGCAGAGGACAGAATCCCACGTTACGGCCAGCATTTTTGACGGGTCGTTAAGACTGTGTCATTTCGAACTATGCTCTTATGCACTTTTTAGGTGGAAATTATTCAAAGAATCGGCACTGTAATTTTTCACGAGGATTAAGAATCGTTCCACATATAGACTATGGGTCTTATCCCTGTTGTAGATATTAGTAGTAATGAAGACAAGAAAGTCATAGTTATGGGACCTAAATGCACAGGTAGGAAGGTGAGAAGTAAACTGGAAAAAATGGGTCCATTTGGATATGGCAATAGAAATAAGGAAGGGAAATTATTGATTGATTTTTCTGTGAATGAAATGGGATGCTTGTTAGAAACACCTGGTTTAGAAAGAATTCATAAAAAAATAACTCGATATGGGTGGAATTACTTCCTGGTTGAAAAGCAGAACCACAGAGACCTTTTGGATATGACTGCAGATCCAAATGATGCTTTTGATAGAGACCACAGATTGGTCATTGCAAGATTGAGTGTTGGATCAAGACCAAAAATGAAGGAGGTAAGAGAAAGATTTGGAAGTTAATTCCCAAATCTTACCTCCATTTTTGAAACTAGAAATGAAACACAAGTTTCAGACTGAACTCCAGATCCACATTCCAAACTCGGAAATATGAGGAGTAGAGGATGTTTAAGGAAACATTCGTAAAACATGCAGCCAATATATGTAGAAGAACTGAAGGCAAGAAGAGAGAGGCAACTCCATGTTTGAATGCAAGGATTAAGGAGGCAGTAAATGAAAAGAAAAGTGCATGAGAAAAGTGGGAGAGAGGAGACAAGATAGATGAGAGAAATCACAAGTATAAAGAGGCCAAAAAGAGATGTCAAAAATAGTACAAGAAGAAAAGAAATGTTGGGACAATTTACTTGTGAATTTCGAGAAGACATGAGAGGGAATAAGAAAAAAAATTGTATGGCTTGGTAAAGAGTGGGCGAAAAGATAGTGTTAGGACAAATAAGATCAAAAATAAGAACTGTTAGGAGTATTTCCAAAAATTATTAAATATACAATGGAAGACACCTAAGGAGGCAGAAGAAACAATAGAAGAATGGGCAGAGGGGGAGAAAGAGAGTGGGATGATATAACACATACAGAAGTGGAGACTGTGTTAAAGAAAATGAAGATGGGCAAAGCTGTGGGAATTGACTAAGTCACAGTGGATATGATCATCAGGTCACTTGGGGATACAGTGACTAACAAGGATTATGAAGGCAGTGGAGAGAGAAGAATGTGTCATCTGAATGCGAAAAAGGTATTATAGTCCCCATATTTAAGAAAGGGGACAGAAAGAAATATGAAAATTACAGAGGAATCACATTGTAACTCCATGCAGCCAAGATTTTTGAGTTTTAGAGTGCAGGATCAGAAAAGTGGTGGAACACCAACTAGAAGAGGAACAGCAAGGGTTCAGAAGGAACCAATCTACCACAGATCTGAAATTTTCTGTGAAATTACTGATGGAAAAGAGTTGGAAATACAATAAAGATTTAGTAATGACTTTTATAGATATTGAGAAAGCATATGATAGTATCCCAAGACAGATGGTGTGGAAGGCCCTAGAGAGTAAGGGCATCTCAGCAAAAATTATAAGTTAGATACAAGCAATGTACATGTACACCGCAAGCCTAAGTTGTGTCAATACAGGAGTTGGGAAAATAGAGTGGTTCGAAAAAAAAATGGGACTTCAACAAAGAAGTGTTTTGTCATCACTTCTGTTTATAATCGCAATGGATAAAATTCATAAGAACATAAAAAAAGGCTTAATGGAAAGAAGTTGAGGGTTTGACTATTTGCAGATGACATAGTACTGATGGGAGACAGAAGAAATACATCATCAACTGGATGTGTGGAACGGGGAGCTAGAGGGATGGGGAACAAAGATAAGCCAAGAGAAAATCAAGATGGTGGCAGTGTTAAGAACTTGGGAGGGGAGAGGGAAAATCGAACCAAACAAAGTATTATTATAGGACGTCGACAGCTTTAGATACCCAGGAACAGAAATATCAACAAATGGAAAGATAAGCAAAAAAATAAGTAGAAGAATACAGCAAGCCAATGGCTTCCATTGGAATATGAGAACTTTGATCTGGAAAAAGAAGTGAAACTCAAATGTAAGGAGGTCTTTATCAATTATACTTCATCCCAATATTGACTTATTGAGCTGCACCATGGACTACATCATGGAGAGAAGACAGAAAGATCAGGGCAGCATCAGCAGCAAATTTCCCAGGAGCATGCAGAGTACGACCAGAAGAGACGGGATAAGGAACAAAGAAATAAAGGAAAGAATGGAATGAAAAATTCGGGGAGAAGATAGAACAAATTAGATCAAGATGGTTTGGACATACCAAGAGAAGGGAAGAAAATAGAATACCAAAGTTGGTATTGGAGAAGGAAACAAAGGGGAGAAGACCTAAGAAAAAGGACTGACGATGTAACAGTGGTGTTTGCAGAGTAGTGGTGGAAAGATAGAAAGAGTCAGAGGTCTTTAGTCCATGGCCCAACTCAGGCTTCGGTGGATTAAGGACGAAGATTTTATATGCCATATATAGAGTAGATAAAGTAATACCAAACAATTGCCGTCTTATCAGACTATAATAAGGCTAATTTCATAATTAGATATAAAGTAATTACAGTAGAATCTAGTTTTAACAAATTGCTTGGACCAACAAAAGTCATCCGTTATTCAAAAAATTTCCAACTTTTTAATCCCCTACTTTTACGAATAATTACAAATACAGATATTTGTCTCTTGAGATTGCTCTTCTTTATTCTACAGAAACAGGTACGTACAGTACATATGACAAAGGGACAGAAACCACATATAGGCTACTGTTATACACAAAAAGAGAGAAATTATGTATGCTTGTTACAACTTAACTTGACTTCATGATTTGTTAATTATGGTGTTTTTCCTTTATTAACCGATGTTGGTACAAATATAACAAGTGGGAAATATTGTACATCTGAATACTTTGGTTAGGGTGATGAGGCCGGCAGAGAGGCAGAAAATTTACCTACGATATGATACTATACAATACAATTAAAAGTATTTTCTTTTTCTATATGTTTATTATTCTTTCCATTAAAAAATATAAATTATATGCACTTTGTCGGCAGGTGATGTACAACGTTTTTCAACTGGGAGCGTTTTCCCTGGCAGCCATTCTGGTCATGAGACTGAAATTATTTTTCACTCCACATCTCTGCATAGCAACGTCCATGTTGGCATCCGTTGAGGTGAGTGTGGACTTATTTTTTACTGGGAAGTAGGTAGCGAGAGAGAATGTTCAGAAGCATTAACACGGTAACTGGCAATTTGGCCTTTGTCTGGAAATAGGTAGGCACACTGTTGGACCAGAGGTAAAAATCCATTGGGGTAAAAGAGAAGGAATGGGCTGACTTCATTTTGGCTGGATAAAATGCATGACAGAACATTTGTTGAACGAAACGAGACCATGGCTGCAGAAATATTTTTGTAAACGTTTGTTGTCAGAAATAGAGAAATATCAGTTTTGATATCGAAATCAAATTACTACAAATTGCCAATCTCTGTTACCGTTGTTGGTAATTTGTAATAATAGGTATTGGGAGCTGCAGATGCCCACTGCAAGCATTCCTGACTATGTCAGTGCTAGATCTCGCTCATCCGTCCGGTCCTTAATCCTGTTCTTAATTTGCAAAGCCAATTGAGGTATTTATAGCACCATGGCTATGGGTGTTTATCGCAATATTTTCACCCATCCCACTTTGTGGCCTTGTACTAACCGCTGTTTCTACCCAAAATACCCAGAACGTCTGTCGTCTGGTCCGTACTTTTAGTTATGAATTTCTTTATTATTTCTGTATGCCACGTAGGTGGCGCTCTGGCTTTACCATTTTTCATCAATCTGTTCGTATAAATCTGGATGCCTCTACAGTAGACCCCCCTATAACGCTTAGATACGTTCCACGCTAACCGAAAATTACATTGTAGGAACGATTAAATACATGAGCCAATCGCAGCCCGATAGGTGTGAACTTTACGAACTAAGGCTGTTTGAAAGGTTTTCTTCTATAAAATTAACCGATTCTAGACTAATTCCACTCAACATTTCCAAAATACGTATAATTTTTTGGGAATAATCTGTATAAACTATGCTATAAACAAAAAATTATAGGATTACTTACCGAGTGTGTACCGTTCGACTACGCCGTTGCTTAAAGCTGGTTTTCATCGCGGAACAGCACATTAAACGGCGGCCGCGATTTCTAATAACGAATTTTTCGCATAAAAATAACTTGACCTTTGGAGACATCATTAATATAAATAATTTTTATGGCCGTTGAATAAGAAGTGTTTCTTTCACAAGAAATGTATAAAATTAGTGCTGTATTAGACTTACGGTACCTAATTTACATACTGTACAGACGATAATAAACTCAACTTACTAGCCTAAAATCTCCGTAGCGTGTTGCCAGGCGGCAGAAAGCATATATATAATTATAATAAAGTTACAATAAATTAAGTTAATATATAATTATATATACAGTACCTAATTTATATATAATTAATATATAATTATATGTACAGTACCTAATTTATATATAATTTATATATAATACTAAACAGACGATAGCAAACTCAATTTAGCCGCTCCGTAGCGTGGCGCAGGGTCGGAGGAAAGTAGTTCGGCTGCTCATCCACTATTGGTCCAGACTCTATCAATCTTCTCGCAAAACGACGTTATAGGAGGTACGTTATACGAATGTTGCTACAATTTTTTCGCTACGCTATAGGAATTTCCGTTATAGGAACGTACGTTATAGGGGGGTCGACTGTATTTCATTCTCTAAGGCCAGATTTGAGATTGTTTGTTTTATTTGGCAGTCGGCCACCATGTATTGTTTGTTTCCTACATTAACTATGCACCCTTTCCTTACGAGGTACTTAACCATCCTCTCTCGGAGCACTGTATGGATGGGGCCTCTGTCCAGACTATTCGGAAAGCCTTGGCTGTGTGTGAAACTGCATTTCTCTGTGCACTGTATGCACGCTTGTTAATTGTTCCTTTTTTGGCAGCCTGGCTTCATGCCGCTGCCGCCTATGTTAGTTTTGGTACCAGAATGTTGTTATAGATAATTCTTGCAGCTTCTGAGTGTAAAGCTTAGTTCACACTCAGCAAATAGTGAAAGCCAACAAGAAAAGTCACTTCCTTACAACCAAAAGTGAAAAGCCGTTGCGAATTTCAAGTGGCCAATCACTTGCAAGCAAGAGAAAACGTCGTCTCAAAAAAACAAAATGGCTGCTTCCAATATTCTGTTGTTAACCACACCTGTTTATTTATTGAGAAAAAAGATACGTTAAAAAGAAAATGATGCTGGGCGAGAGGTGTATTAAAAAACCGTGAATTATGTTGTTACTGTGATAATTTGGTGAGAGAGATGAGACCGAATGACAAACAATCCTACCTTAAAAATTTATTATATTTTCTTACTAAATAACAAAAACTTTAAACTAAATTTTATTCTATTCTTCATATAACACTTCTTAAATTTTTTAGAATGGCAAGAGAATTGTGACTGGCTATCTAACACTTTGTCCAGCTTATCTTGTATGCTGTGTATTTCCTCTTGCAGCAAGCATTTCTCTGGGTCTCTTAGAATGTCTATGATTTGATTCACTTTACCAATAATAAAATCCACACAATCCTTCGTGCCCAACCTGCATGAGGAATTATCATTAGAGAGGTTGCGGCCGACGTTTTCAGCCCAAAAGATGAACGTCGGACGTTAAGCGCTGCCATCTAGCAATTCTAGAAGGCTGACAATGGCGTTTGCTACGTCTAGCATAGAAGTTCGACTTAAACTTCTTCATTTTTTTTGTGTTTTGGGTTAAAATAATGATTATTTAAGCATTTATGAATAATATTGTAAAGAAACATATGATTTTAATCCAGAAATTATTGAATTATTCAACTTTTTACAAGTGATGTTAAGTGTGTATAGAATTTACATATAATAGCTTATCATAATTCTGTAGGAGGAGGTTTGTTCTTTCACAGCATAATATGTTTGTAAATTTTCTAAAAATAATTTCCCAAGCTGCTTTCGGATTTACATAAGCCACTACTTCCCTCAACAAAAGTATGAGGTAGTCCTATCGTACGGTAGGAGACATGACGCTAATTAAAAATAATTATTTAGCGTTATTAAAACATCCTATAAATACTTTAAAATAGTTTAATTTGTTTATTTACCTTTGCTAGTAACATTTCTCCTTAAACATTTCTGCCATTTTTAAATAATATCCCACGAATCAGTGCACAACGTGTTTTACTTCGAGTTCAAATGTCAAATGTGTACTTCTACTTGCTGCACAAGTTTAACATTTGAACTTCGCCCACAACCTCTCTATTAATGCATTGTTCCATTTCTAAGCAGATACTTTCCACAAACAAAACTGTCATCTTAGAGAGTTGTTTCTTCCATTCTTTCTTTTTCTTAGAACAGCTTGTCCTCAGTCTCTGACCATTTTTGTCTCTTGAGCATTAGTCCTAGCAGACTTTTGAGTTGCAACTGGTATTTGGTTTTACCCGTGCAGTTACTAATGGGCAGGACCTCGTGAAAGTGACGCTTCCCAGGAGTGAAAATACATTTAAGAATTAGGCACAAGCAAAAACCCCTCTAATAATGCACTCAATTTGCATTGGGATCCCTGCCTGCCCTCCCACCTGGTCTGATGGAAAACGGTCAGCCAAGGTCGACTCCTCTTAAAATGCACAAAAGCTTTCTGCCAAACAGGCAAAAAGAAGTTTGTTTTCCACCACCAATTGTCCACCTATTAGAATGGGAGAAAACGTAATTATAAAAATGCCAGTCAAACCACTTTACTTCAACCACTCACTTGACGTTTGATATCGGATCTCTTTAATTTTTCAATGATTCTATTCCCAGCTGGCAAAACACTACAAATCGATAGAACGGTGGGGTGCAAAGGCCACACATTCATTTGGCAGTTACAAATTCTGCCAGTAGATTTTAACAAAATACTTGTGTTATCATATTTGAAAAGATATAAATAGTGATCTTTAATGAAAGTATTTTATTTAAATATAATTGCAGCATTTCGGTGGTATTGGAAGATACCAGAATGCCCTAGTGGTGTTGCTGATAGCAGCAACTGGCATCGAGGGACTGAGGAACGTCCAATCGCAGCGCCAGGTAATTGGGGAATACAGCAATCCCGCTCTGGAAGAGTTATTGGAATGGGTGTCTTTGAACACACCGGCTGGTATGTCCGCAGTTATTTCGCCAAAGGCTGACAGAGTTTTTCAGGTAATTCCTGGGATATTTTGCAGATTCGGCCTTTGCCGGTCCCATGCCCACCATGGCCAATCTGATGCTGTCCACCGGGCGACCCATCGTCAATCATCCACACTACGAAGATGCCGGTCTCAGGTATTCTTTTGCCTTTTATTCTGGAACTTGTTCTTTTTGCACAGAGTTTCGTTCATTTTTGACCCGAATGCCCAGAGATGGGAATTCCAATCTGGCCATTTTCTGGAATCGGTCAAATTTGATTTCCATTTACTCAATCCAAAGTAAAAAATCAGAAACTGCAAGGGAATAATGGATCGGAAGGATGCCGTAAGAATTGAACATCTTTCGGTCCAGGTTCTCCATTTGCTCCAGCAGTCAGTCGACTTCTTTTAACTGTAAGTTACCAGAAGTTTAAAAATGATTTTTGTTATCCCAAGAGAGAGTGAATATCATTGGTGCAAAAGTTACTCCCTATTACAAAGAAACAGTATTAATTCATATGCCTCTATGTCCTTATTTTCTACAATTTGTAAAATGTTTGTCTACAAGGACTCAGCTATTAATAGGACATATTGCACTGATGTTTTGGTTTATTGCAACTGAGGAAAAAATTTATTCAGGGAAACAATCTTTATTTGCACCTTGTATTATGCCTGGCATAATACAAGGTGCAAATAAAGATTTGCCTGGTGTTTTGCAAGAAACCAAAACACCAGTGCAATACTTCCTATTAATTAATAAGCTTAGTCCTCATAGACAAACAAAGAAAAACAGTACTGTTACATTTATCTCTGTTACTTTCCAATTCTAGGCTTGTCCCAATTCCGTGAATAATAATATTGGCTAAAGTTGAAGATGCCCAAAATTTGTCATTCTGACAAATGAATAATTCACGGTTGATAAAGTATAATTAGTTTAGAACTTATCGTAATGTCAAAATGTTTTTTTACGAAGAGTTGGTTCCTCGGGGAAGACAACCCGAACAAGACACTTGCCGGAGTCCTATTTGTTCCAAATATTAGAAATTAACTAGGCATATTTTGGCAGGGAACGAACCAAGAAAGTCTACACATTATTCAGCAGGAAGCCAGCACAAGAAGTCCATCGAATTCTGCAATCGACTGGAGCCCGATACGTGGTGTTAGAGCGTCGCTGGTGTTTTGGCCAAACCAGGTAATGGCTTTCTCCTCGCCTCCTCTACTTGTTAAATTTACCCACTGAAAATACAGTACTTTTCTTCGGGTTTGCATTTTACACAATATAATTTACAAGAGAGTATTTTTAAGTAAAGGGAAGAGGGAATTATATTCTCTCAATTCCTATTTCACACTATATATAATTGTAATTTTTAAAAAGTTCTGGCAAGAGAAGATACATTCTAATCTTTATGGCTACTGTTTTCATTTGAAGACAGTAGCCATAAAGATTAGAATGTACTTTCAATGATGCTCGTACCCATCTGGTGCCGATTGGATTCCAGCCGGAGGAATCTTGGCTCTAGACTAAATTTGGCTACCACATTCTTCTGGCTGTACTTTCAGTCAAAAAATTATGCAGTAAAAGGTTTATAGACTGGAGATTGGCAGCTGAATGGGCAACAAGTGCAGATTAATGGTAGGACACTCGACTGCAGTTGAAAAAGTGCTTTTTGTTTTTCTTTACAGGGAGGGATGCAGAATGGTGGATGCCTGGGACCTAGAAGATCCCGAAAATGCAGACAGAGAGCCATTGTGCCCCAGTCTCTTTGTCCGCCCCCAGCCCTTTCGACCCCTCTTCCGGAATTCAGAATATGCAGTCCTCCAACTCTAGTTTGCCTCTCTCAATAGCAAACCGTCAAATTACACAAACAGATTTTTTGAAAAGATTTAAATAAAAGCCAGGCAAATCTGGAATATATTGGTCAATAATTTATTTCTTTGGTTATGGACAAATATGTTACAGAAAATTTAAGTAGCCACAAATGGAAACGACAAAAGTTTTAAAACACCGGATAACAATAACTTAGACCGAATGGTGTAAAAATATTTTGTTTTTTGTGTGCTTCCGGCGAATCCAGAGAGACGTGCAAATTTATGGGATCGCTCGATATTTGGTGTTGCCTCCAGAGCAGTCTTTGCGGTAGATGCAATTTGTATATATTTTGCAGAGGAGACAAAAACCGAGACGAGGCCCGTTTGGTCCCCCGTCCTCCACACTTGCCGGAAACCAGCGTGGTTTAAAAGGCATTTACAGCCGACACAATTTGTACAAAATATAATTTACAACTTTGAAAGTGAGGACATCGGGTGCCACCTCTATCCAAATACAAAGATGCGGATGTGGTAATGGAAGAGAGACAATGGAAACACGTGGACAATAAGACTCTTCGACATTTTCCACGGCAGAAAATCAGCGAATATTTCCGTTGATTGTTTTGCAAGATGTAAGACATGTTGTTAGCTGCCCAATTTACACGGTGCCAAAAGAAGAAACGGATAAAAGTGTCTCCATCACACTAGCTCTGCCTTTGTTTTTTACTTCAGTCTGGGCAACGGAAAGCAATCGGCATCATTATTGTCTGGCCACAAAAATGTCAAAGGCAAAGAATGAGAGTGTGTGTGGCCGATCCAACCCATTAATAAATTAGAGCGGCGAAGAAGTGCGAGGAAACACCACCAGTCCAGGAAGACAAGGCACGGAGTCGACGTCAGGAGACGGTCCGGTTCTTCTGGAGCCACCTTCACATATGGATGGAAGCAGCCGTGTAGCGCGCCTCTCCGTGTCGGAAGTGCCACCGACTGGGACGGTACTGAAAACAAAAAACAGTCAGGAGGTGGTGGAATGACGAAAAATACCATCTGTTGATGGAGAAAATACTCACCTTGATGAGGAACTGTCCTGAAGGGGTCTGCGGATGTCTATAGGCATACAGCAACCAAGCAGCCATCCCTATTATCAGTCCAGAGGTGGCCACTATGGCCACCACTCCACCCATACTCACTGCTTCTTTTTCTTCCACTGAAAGTAGTAAAATTGTGGTTAGAAAAATTAATAAAAAGAATTTGAGGACTGACCAGAACAGTAGAAAGGCCCACCTACAGGATTTTGTCAAAAAACAAACAACGGAATATCAAATGCACCAATTGTCTAATGATTATACTTGGATTTCTGGCAGTACGTGAAAATCAAATTAGGAAAAGTTTCATTTTAAAGAAGTTATTGACAACTTGTGGTTAAAATTCAAATTGCATGACAAACAGACTTTACTCCTTTTAGATTACAAAACAAGGAAATTCTCTCACCAAATTAACTTCCAAATTCTTACTATTTTAGCAATACAAAGTTTCCTATATATTTTCTGCATTTGCTAATATAATTTTGTCTAACATTTTTTGATACCGAAGAATAAACATAGTGTTCAGATCAGTTTCAGTTGAATGGTTTTATTTTTAGATGCCAAAATTGATTTTTATATTGGTCCGCAAAGAATGAAAGAAATACAGATAAGTGTCTCTCTGGACAGATGTCACACTCGTGCGTTCTTTACTATTGGAATTTCATTGAAAAAATTTGGGCAAGAGAGGAGAGTTGGCGCTCCATGCACTTTCTTTTACTAATCTTATAATATACTATCTGGACATGTCATGATACCAGAATTCTAAGAATGTCTATTTTTGGGCTTACTCTGTCTTAAAATTTGTACCCATCACCTACAAGACTATTAGAGCCTCGATTTTAACGACGTAAAGACTGCCAGCAAAAACACGATATAAGTATGTTTGGAGTTACTAATTACAATAAATGATGCCAAAGTTTGAATAAATATTCAATATTTTTTTGACAGAATTTTGATTAGGAAAACTTAATCGAGTAAGACCATGTTTGGAAGTTTGTGACTTCCAAAGGAAAACTGAAACCTAAGGAAATAAATGGGTAACAACCTTGGTATTCTCCCGAGATTTGTTCCGAAGAGGAACGATGGTCTCTAGTCGTAGAAAACCCTCGAATGGACAAGGAGTGCAAAAAGTCTCTCAGTACAACATAGAAACAGTGGGAGCTTGGAATGTTAGAAGTTTATATTCAGTAGGGATGCTTAATAATTTGATTCGGGAAGCAAAATGTATGAAAATATGGATTCCCAGTGTTGACAATATAAGATGGCTGGGATCCAGTATATGCCGTAAAGGTGAAGGAGTATCATATTACTTGGGGTTGCCAACGAATGATAAACACCATTGTCCTTTGTATAAATGTAGGTAGGTATATACTGTATAGGTTTGAAGCAAAGCCATTTAATATATTGGTAATCCAGGTATATGCACCTACCTCAGATAGCAGTGAAGAGGAGATTGAACTTTTCTATAAATATCTAAGCATGATAGAGAAAACACTGCAGAGAGATGTGATCATCGTTGCAGGTGACTGGAATGCTAAGATTGGAAATAATAATGAAGGTTGGGTAAGTATGGATATGGAGCAAGAAATGAACGAATCTTGATCTAGGGCAAATTCTGAAAGACTGCTTGAATTTGCAACACCAGATTCCAGCAAAAGAACTGTAGCAAGTTATGGAACAACAAGAAACATGATTGATATGATTTTGATCCAAAGGAGATGGTGACATCAGTTCAGCAGTGTCGAACATTTCAGGGAACCGACATATATTCTAATCACAACTTAATCATTGCAAACATAAAGATAGTTAATGCACATTTCCAAAAGAAGAGACATTACAAGACATTACAAAGCTAAAAGATGAGAAAATAGGGAGCATATATAGAAATACACTTGAGAAGAAGATAGAGACCCTAGACACAAGAGTGGAAGAAATAATAAAGGCAATAAGAGAAGCAATTGAGCTAACCCTACCAGAAGAAGAAAAAATCAACAAGAAATGCTTTACAATTTCTTGTGTGATCCTTGTCCAAGAGAAAAAAAGCTCTTAGGCTTAGAAGAGATGTTTCTGAAGAGTTGGAAAAATATACAAGGAAATGTTAGACACAGAGAATCTAGTAGCTAAATTAAGGAAGATATCGCCACCAAGTGTTGAAAATGAAAATGATGATATGAGGGAGGAAGTTGAAAGGGCAGTGAAACAGTTGAGAGTCCAGGACATGACAAAATCACAGGAGAAATGTCAATTAAGCTATCGCCTCTATGCTTAATCAAGATGCAATGAGGTATGGAAAGAAGGAAAGATACCTAAAGAATGGGCAAAACCAGTATTGGTGACAATACACAAGAAAGGCAGCATGTTAGATTGCAAAAATTATAGAATGATTGCTTTAACAAGCCACATAGAAAAAATTCTGATGATGATCTTAAAGGAGCAAGACTAAATAGTTTGATGGAAGAATACTTAGCAGATGGACAGGCAGGTTTCAGGAAAGACAGAAGTACATTGCAGCAGATACTAACATTACAGCTATTAGTTGAAAAGGCAAGAAGAAAGCAGAATGCATCTATTCCTGCTTTGTGGGCTTTCAGAAGACATTTGACAGCATAGACCAAAAAGCCACCTTGGCAGTGCTAAAATCTTCTGGAGTGGATCATAAAGTAATAAACCTACTAAGTTAAATTAATGGCAATGCAGAAGCAACTGTGAGATTGTGCGCGGAGCTAGGAAACTGGTTCAAGCCAAAAAGAGGCACCAGACAGGGCGATCCTATATCCCCAACCATCTTCATAAGTCTCTTAGAAAGAGTCATGGATAAGACGACGCAAGAGATGCAGGGAACATAAGTTCATGGTGTAAAATTCAATAACCTGAGATTTGAAAATGACATAGTTATCATTGTCTTAGTTTTTTCGCTATTGATAATCAGTCCATACATTTTTCCTTCTTCAATGATATTTGGTGATAACAACATGACTAGAAACATCCTAGTAGATGGGAAAGAAATTGAAAATGTAGAAAGCTTTACATATGTAGGAAGCAAACTAACCTTATAATCTGGACTGCAAAAAAGAAATAGAGATTAGAATAGCCGAGGCAAAAGCAATTAGTTTGCAGACAAAATTAAAAGTATTGAACACCTGCATGCCACGAGACATGGGTGATACTAATATTTTTCCCCCACATCTTTTGTTATTTGAAAGACACCGTTACAGAAAGATCTTGCAAATAGGATGGATGCAGAAAGTCACAAACGAAGAACTTTATAATATGATATATATGAAAAAGAATCTCTTACAAAAATTATACAGCGAAAACTATTTGGACACATCACAAGAATGAATGAAAACATAGACTAAAGTCTTAATTTTTCTGATATTGTGGATGGATCCAACAAAAGAGGCAGACCATATAGAGAATGGATTGATGACATGAAGTGGTGTGGAGCAAATGTACAAGAATTGAAAAAAAATCAACAAATGGATAGAGAGAAATGGAAAAAAGTGGAAAAGACACCAACAATGATGAGGTATATATATCAGAAAGATTAGTAGGCATGGATTGTCTGATATTGGAATAAAATTACTGACTGTTCAATTCAAGCTCCGAATGATGTGGTTGGGGCCTTATCACAGCTATAGAGCATACCCATACCTCTGCGAGATACAGCCTCCCCAAAATCAGGTCGTGTGAGGTTGCAAGTTACGTCACTCCACTAAGACTGTCATATATTCACAAAATTTAAAACAATGGGATCGGTAAAAAATTAATTTCTAGATTAAAACTGCTTTCTCTTATCCAACTTCAAGTGATTTATTTTAGCAGACAAACAACATAGAAATACTAAACTTTAATTACCAATAACTTTATATTCACAAAATTCATTGTAAAATCCAAATGCATTTCACTTATAATGAAGCCTCATCAGTGGAGTAAATACTAACATTTTCTATTGTTTTGAACAGCTGTCTTCTGATAACCATGGAATAGCCTTTGTATTAAACATACAATCATATAAA